CCAGAAGAAGAGACCTTCGTCCAACTATCATAAAACAAAAGCCTGGAATGATAGGTCTCCCACTACCTCAGCAGCTATTCTGTATAGTAGCTGCCCTCTTCCTATCATGCCTTGCCCCCTCCCCTGTGTGGCGTCATGCCAAGATGGTTGCTCCCACCAAAGAATAAACCCTTCTTCCCAACATGCCCCTGTTCCGGCCTAGAAAGTAACCTAATACTCGCTCACCTCCTACCATCTAGTGACATCACTGGCTCCTCCATTCCCTAGTCACTACCTCACTCAACCCCACCTCAGCCCCTACAAACCCCACCCCAGTCTCTATAAAAGACTCTCCCTGCCCCAGCCATATTGCTTTTGTCTCTCCTTTGTTCAGAAACAGCCCAGCAGATCTATTCCCCTAATAAAGGCTTGTGGCCTGGTCTGGTCTTGGTCTTCGGCCTTTTACATGACATTGAGGACAGTGAGATTTCAGAATATGTCAGTTGATTGGAAATTCTCAGCAGGATATAACCTCAGACTAGGGTTTTGCTAGATATATGGGATGATAGAAACATGTACATTTTAGAAAAGAAAGCAAACTCTCACTGGATTTCTGGCATCATTTATACAGTGTACCTCTTCACAAGAGTATTGTGAGAATGAAATGAAAGCACTGACAGAAAGTGTCCAGCTTTATGTCAGGTACATGGAAGACACTCAACACATGAGGCTCCTTCTTCCTTTCCCTGTACCTCACAAGATTGATGTGAAAAACAAAACAGTTTATACAAAAAGTACATGGGATGTGGAACTCCTTAAGAAAAAGAAGAGGTCAGGTATGGCAGCATACTCCTGTAATCCCAGTACTCTGGGAGGCTGAGACAGGCAGATCTCAAGTTCTAGCCCAGCCTGAGTAATTTAGCAAATTAGACCCTGTCTCAAAATTAAAAAATTTAAGAATAGAGTTCTGGATTAGTTCAGTAAGAAACCCCTGGCTTCAGTCCCCAGTACAGAAGAAGAAAGAGAAAGAGAAAGAGGAGAAGGAGGAGAAGAAGAGGGAGGGGGAGGAAAGAGAAAAGGAGAGTTCTGACTTCAGTTATGAAGAGAGTTCTGACCAGGAGTGAGGGGGTAGGGAACAGACTTGACTTCCTAGAATAAGGAGACCATGATGCTGATAATGCTGATGTTCATCACACCCGTGTCTCTATCCACCTCCAGAAGTGAAAAAGCATGCCTAGAAGTGTTACTTTGCCCAGTTCTTCATCTTCTGGACAATTTAGAAATGTTTTTTCCTCCCTAATTGATTTTTACTGATAAGGGACAGGAGGAGATGTATTGCTAGACAAATCCTGCAGGGGATGCCACATCAGTGGCTCCTATTTACTGAGCACGTTTTAAGCATTGTCCTGGGTGCTTTCACGCATTACTTTCACCTTTAGGCCTGTCACAACCCTAAGGAATACTTTTATTCCCATTTTACGTATGAGGAACCAGACCCAAAGGGATTCAATAATTAGTAGCAGAGGTGAGACTTAAACCCAGGGCTTTTTTTTTTTTTTTTGTAGTGCTGGTGATGAACTCAAGGCCTTGGTACATATTAGGCATGTGATCTACCACTGAGTTACACCCCCAGACAACCCA